ATTGTACCATTCCTTTCTTATAATCCCTAGCTTTTCTCGTACCTCGCACCAGACTCTTTGGCACTTCTTGTTATTGCATGCTCCTCGCTCCTCGTCGCATCATTCTATATGTTGATAAATTTTCAAATTCTTCTACCTCGTTGTGCGCTGGTATCTCGCTGGTATTCTACGAAGAACGCTCCCGTGTATGACGTGTGAGGACATGTGAGTCATATACATAAGGCATGATCCCGATAGAGCATATATATGCATGTTATCTTTATGTTCTGCGCGATTGACTCCGGTAGTATCAGATCGTTAATGCACTTCTACTTTTCTACTATGGCAGGCTCGTGTTATCTGTACATAAAATTTACGTGAGGGCTTCCACGACTGTTTTCGCACACGCACCACGTTCAATATTGTGCAGCACATCCCACACCGCCTGCCATAGTACTTGATAATCTACAGCAATCATGCCTAGTGAGCATGAGATGCGTTCCGCACTACGACGAGTCTATTGATTTGGAATTTCATGAGCAGAGGAGACGAACCCCGAGTCACCGAACAAACGCAGAGCGACGTACCAATGGTCGAAAGGGGATGCGCTTGTTGCAAGACCCAAGATCGATGCGACAAGAGTATACGCCACACGCGAGGCGGACAAATCGCATACATTGCTGCAGACTCAGATGCAGCTCGGGGATGCCAAGATGCGGGAGATCTGTGTAAGTCATTCCCCCATTCAACTACGAAGACTCGCACGGAGCTAGAGCTCCACGTTTGTATCGTGATGTATGTTCAGGAGACTTTGCGGGATATCATCAAGGAAACTTTGGATATTTATTCCACGTTTAACGGCCAGAAGGACGAGTACTATGAGGTATATCTGAATAAAGTATGCACGATTTTCGGGCCTTTGTCCAAGTAGTCGCTAACGGTGGCTCGCCTGTGTTTGCAAGTGCTCGACGTTGCCAGACCTACAACGTTACGAGGACCAATGGCCAGCAATAGTGTATTGTAAATTGTATCTGGTGAAACACGGTAAGAATAGTGCACCTAAGAGTCCTGAATCGGGCGAGGTAGGCATTAACTGGCTCGTAGTTGGTCTTATCCATTGAGGACGCAGCGCAGGTCTCGGTCCCGACCCCATCACGCAAGAAGAAACTCGACGCGAGCGCGAGCGAGGGTGAAGGCTCGGCGAGCACGATCGTATGTGGTTTCCGTTGGCTATGGCGAAATTTATTGAACGATTCCTCCTGTAGGATTCGGGTTCACGACGAGATAGAATGCCGTGCTTGGCTGAATTTCTACAGTCATTAGAACCTCCTCAACCGAAACTACTTGCAGTTTTGCGCGATGCGGGAATCGTCAACGACGCTTCCTTCCGAATTCTCCTCGTCGATGAGCTGGTTAGAGACGGGGTGTTAAACGAACTCCTTCGGGAGAAATCTATCAGCCAGTTCCAATACATACTTTTGAAAATTGGCATGAGGCGGGGTTTAGGACTGTAGTAGAGCCCCTAAGATGGGCAATCAATAGAGATCTTATGGTGTATATTGAATCCCCGTACCTCAAGCTTGTATTATTATGTACCTTTCTGTATCGAACGTTTTAGCTCGCTCTTACTGTTGCAGTTGATCGACATTTTACTACACTTGACGTTCAGCCGAGGATATATGTGCATAACAATGACACCAAATGCAATAGGATTACGAGACAGGTGGCCGACCAGAATCATCATACAAGAGCTCAAGAGTCTCAGTATCGCCTACGCCCGGGGGAACGAGAGCGTTCTCTTCGGCGTTCACTATCCAGCAATCAGATCAGCCCATTACAGCACAGAGAAGAAAAGGTTACTGACTCGTAGCGAGATGACCCGTGTCTTTCGTATCCTCCTCTGTCTCGGAATTCGTCCCGTGACCGGTAATCACGGTCACCGCTACGCCCACCTGTGCCAGACGGAGTAGCGCTACCACTACCTGTGCCCGCTGGTGCGGCGGATGGTGCAGACGATGGTGGCGCCATCTTACGCTTCTCACGTTCCTCTTTGAACTTGCCTAACATGTTACGCAGTTCGTGGTAGCCCAGATGCATCTATGGGAAACATTTGTATTAACGTGTAAATCCGACGGACAGGTAGAGACTACCGACCTTACCACCGAAGTGGTCTGCAAGACGCCGATCTGAGTCTAGAACGGACAGGTAGGCACCACAAACATCACAGACACGAAGCTTTTGGTGGCCAGAAGCACCAGAAGTGTCTGTCAATTGTTGCAGTTCGCGCTATGACCAATGACAAAACCGTTAGAGTGGACGACGTCACGGATAGGACAGGGAAGCACCTCTTTCTCAGCCTTCTCGCTCTTCAATGCCTCGATAGCCGCCATCTCTCTCATGGACTCATCCACCTTCCCTTGTTCGCCTGTAAATATTGGTTAGCAATGCTCATAGATACGACTACATGTATAATCAGCGAACCAAGGGTCTCGATCTTCTCCGTGCCTCCTTGTATAGCCAATTCGATTTCAGCAATTTCTCGCATCTATTTATGTTATCAGATTTAGACCATCTCAATTGTGCACGAGGTGGGAAATATACCAGGTTAGTAGTCTTTGCGTTCTCCTCTGGCGTTTTCTCCAACCGTCGGTGGGCCGCACGAATTCGCCTGTCGCACTCATCCACAAATGCGAAGATATTGGACTCATATTCCATCTGGAATCGAGAAAATATTGGGTTGTTTGAGTCGGTTTCACGTGCTTGCAAGAACTCCGTCTTCAGCCTTTCAGTATGTGACTTCGGACATGCGCCTAAGTCCATTTTCTAAGCATTGTTAAGGACATTTAGGCGGGTTAAAGCGGTATGATCAAATCTTACTTACCGTATTCGTAAATAGTGTATGTGGGCATGTGCCGCACAAGAAATTACGGCAGACTTTTTCGTCTGACCAGACCAGGTTCGCATTTGCGACACCCATGGCCTCTGGCCCCATCATTTGCTGTCGTGGGGCTTTATAAGCTCACCTCCAATATCAGTAGGATTTACATACCTCTAAGAGCTTCCTCTGCATTTCCGCGAGTCGTCCCATGGTCAAAGAATATTGTTGGTCAAGCAGCGGTCGGTGTAAAGGAAAGTGGCGGTCGTTGGTCTGAGAAGCGTAGCAGGCTATTGTCGCTTATTTGGTTCGCACATGGCATAATCAGGCGCCTATGGCATGTAATATTCCACTATTCTGTCTATCTGCACTTGTACCGAGTATTCCCTCAAGACTATTCTACATCTTGTGTTTTCGCATCACTATAGAATAGAATTATTTGAAAATGTCTCGTCCAGAGCTTGTAGCTCCTCCGGAAATTGTACGTTCGTTTTTATGCTGCAATAATCACCCTACTGAAAATTTTCTCTCCATAGTACTATGGCGATATTGAGGCGAAGAAATACACAAACAAGTAAATCATGTTACATGTATGATCTACATCTCGTAACTTACATCGTGTGCTTAATCCAGTACGCGTGTTCAACAGATCCAAGCTGATATGACCTACCGAGCTTTGGAACTTCTCAACCTTCCACCAGATGAACCAGCATTTCTGCTCGATATTGGTTGTGGATCGGGACTATCAGGGGAGATTCTTGATGAAGAAGGATACAACTGGATTGGGGTGGACGTTGCGCCAAGTATGCTAGGTAAGTCTGCTTCTATCGGAATATCTCGCATGTACTGACACGGGTTTCGGGACGGAGAGGTGGCACTCGAGCGTGAAGTTGAAGGAGATTTATTCTTGCAGGACATAGGACAAGGATTTGGGTTTCGCCCAGGTAGTTTCGACGGTGCAATCAGGTATGTTTCATTTCATCAACCTCACTACGGTGTCTTATACTGCAAGGATAGTATATCCGTGATACAGTGGCTCCTGAATGCTGAGACATCGCACCCAACATCTTCTCCACCGCACCGTCTTACCAGATTCTTCACCACACTTCACTCTGCCCTCAGGAATCCGTCGCGCGCCATCCTCCAGTTCTATCCCACCTCCGATGATCAAATCCAACTCATCACTTCTATCGCTCAAAAAGCAGGATTTGGGGGTGGTGTTGTCGTGGACTACCCCAATTCGAAGAAAGCGAAAAAGGTGTTTTTGTGCCTTTTCGTCGGAAGCGGAGGACAGCAAATTCCAAAGGGTCTAGACGGCGAAGACACCGAGGTACAAGAAGGAAGGGCTGCATTTGAGAAGAGAAGGGAGAAGTCAGGAAAGAAGGACAAGAACGGAAAACGTAGAGGCATAAAGGACAAGGATTGGATATTGAAGAAGAAAGAGGTGCGTGTTCCAAAATTGTCATCATGTAGAGCCGTTGCCCAATATCAGTTTCTAGTTATACAGGCAGCGAGGAAAGGAGAGTGTACCTCGAGACTCAAAATACACAGCCCGGAAGCGAAAACCCGTGTTCTGATTGTACCGTACCATCAATATCTCTCTGTCCTGCTGAGATGTTATTTCTATTTTTTCTGCAACCGATAATCTCCGATAATCCGCTAGAAGCTAGCGTTGTTGAGAAAGTAGTCGCCGGAGGGAAGCCTGCCGACATGACCTGGCGTTGGGTCTCCCGTGCCAATATGTCTGTATGCAGAAACCGGCCATGAAGCCTGGATTTCCCATACCCCCTAGGATGATACTCGGCTACTCATTAATCATTGCTGAAGCTTCTGAAAACAGGCGCTTATGAATGCAATGCAGCTTGAGCCGCTCGCAGAGTCGCATAAGCTTGTAACTTGAAAGACCCCGGCGATTCAATGCGCAAGATTCGGAACTAAAAATACAATGAGAAATTCTTCTGTATCTCCTTCACTCCAGATCAAAAATAATATATTTCGGTTGTGAACTTACTGTTTACTCTTTATAAACTGTTTACAACTCTTTCTCTATATTAAGGTATAAGCAGAAAGGCTTAAAGCTTTACTCAAGTCTAGATCAGAGAAGTTATGAGCGCAAAGTTTAAACATATCGTGAACTCAAAAAATACTGCCCCAGTGAGGGTTGAACTCACGACCTTCCGATCACTTACGCAAACACGTTAACAGTCGGACGCTTTGACCAACTAAGCCATGGGGCACATAATTATGTCATAATTCTTATATTTATAATCACATCGGCTTTGAGCCCAAGTCCCATAGTCATTAAATAAATACAGGACCCTGAGTCCTTTCTGATGATTACAAGTACATCTCATCCCATCCCTCGTCATTTGTGGCAGATTTCTGTGGGTCTTGGTTTTCAGGTTCCCGTATCGTAGCAGGCTGTTCGACACCGGGGCCTGCCGATGCGGTCTGAGCCGCCTCCATCTCTCGCACGATATCCCACATCTCCTCGTCATCGTCGGCTGACACCGTCATCGAAGCAGTTGCCTGTGCTGGTTGCGACGTTACCGGTACTCCGAAGTCTTCACCGAGTTCATCCCACATCGCATCGTCGTCATCTACCGCTGGACGGGACTTGATGGCGGTATTAGATGTGGAAGCGGTGATCAACTGAGTTGATACTGAGGCAGCCGCTAACTCTTCCTCTTCGCGAATCATAGCATCAATATCAAAGTCATCATCTCCGCCCAACGAAGTGCCCACTGAGGAAGGTGGGCGTGGCGGAGGAGAACTCGATCGGGAAGTAAGTTGTTCGGCGCCATCGGGCGTGGTCGAGTCTTTTTGTTGCATGGGGTCTGCTGTGTTTTCATTTTCGTCACTTGAACTACTCGAATCAAGATCAGCAAATTCCTCCGGTTTCATGCCATTTACGAGGCCCTTTGATTCGTCCCTCCACACGCTCAAAGCATTCTGAGAGGTCTAAAGTGAGAAAGCAGATACGGAAGATGAGGATATCAGACACACATGCATTCTCTTCGAATGACATAATTTCTCGACGCGCTGGACATTATCTCGGAAGGCTCCCTTGGGATACATCTTATGAGACCAAAACTGGTATATCTGGGTGAGCCTGTTGAGGTCAGAAAGCTAGACGCGATCTTCAGCGCAACACAAACTTCAAGTGCTGCATAGACTCACCTCATGGCCCTTGCCTCTTGGCTTGAAGTATTTCGCCTGCTTTACAAGAGCAGGAAATCCGTCTGGCCCAAGCAGACGCGCTTCATCCAACCTGGGGATCGGTTTCCTCTTATGCAAGCCGTCCTTGTTACCCTTGCCTTTCGATTTGTTCTGATCTCCGTCCTCCTTCTCATCTCCAATGTCTCTGGGAGGCGAACTACTGGGTAGAATGGCGTGCGGGGTCAGGGATGGGTTCTTAGCAGCATGCGACTCGGCTTGCTTCCTCAGCGTGTCGAGGTCCAACGACGGAGCAAGACCTCCAAAAACATCGTCTTCATCGTCGAGAGTGTCAAAGAGAGCTTCAATCTCTGGTCTCTTCTCAGGTGTGCGCTTTCTGTAGTGAGTGGTCGCTGGTGCGTCGTCATTGTCCTCATCCGAGGAGAGGAAGAGCGTCGTCCGTCGTCGTTTCGACGGTGAGGGACGCGCAGAGCTTGCAGGTCGCGGTGAATTGGAGACTGGCTCGTCCCAAATCTCGTCGAGAGACATCGACATCGGGAGAAAACAAGTATCTGAGACGACTCGGAGTCGCGTTCAGGTTTAACCAATGACCGCGTTGTGTGCGCTTGTTTGGCACCGCGCAATTCCTCTGAATTCCTTGGAACTTCAGCTCAAATATTGACCGCCATGTCTCAAGTAGACACAACGTATACTCCCTCTCAACCGGACGTCGAGGAGGGCATAGAATACTGGAGCACTCAACCAGCGAGCTACGATGGCGTACTCGGTGAGCGTCCTTGACTCAAAATTCGCGTGCAATCCCGTAACGGTCCGTTCCAGGTGGGTTTGGTAGCGGGGTAAGCAATTCTAGTCGGTCTGTATGATATTTCCAAGTCTCAGTTGAACAAAAAAATTGTGTAGTCATTGCCTCGTGTCGACTCTCTGGGCTCTCGTCAATTTTTGCTTCAGCTCATGCCAGAGTTGTCCACGGTACCATCTGCGATCCGGCCCCTCAAGACACCGCCTGCACACACGCGAAGGACTCGAGCGTTAGATGTCGGTGCTGGAGTTGGACGTGTCACGTCAGACGTTCTCTTACACCTCGTTTCCGATGTCGTTCTCATGGAGCCCGTCGAAGGGTTCGTCAACGAAGCATGGAAGCGCGGGGCGTCCAGCGCAGAGGGAATACTCGTAGAGGACAGCTCGCATGCCCGATGGAAGGGGATACAAAACAAGACAAAAAGCGTTACTGTTGTGCAAGGAACTCTGCAAGCGCTCGACCCTTTGCATCCACTGGCAGATCCTACAACAAAGCTACTTGGCCGATTGGGCTATGAACCTGCTGAGGAAGATCTAGAGTCTGGCTTCGACGTCATCTGGTGTCAATGGTGTCTTGGTCATCTAAGCAACGTTGACCTTGTCGCATTTTTCAAGCGGTGTCGACAGGGGCTACGGGACCCAGACAACAGCATCATCGTTGTAAAGGAAAACTTGTGCCATAACGCGGCCGACGGAGGTCCTGAAACTGTGTTTGACCCAAGTGACTCTAGTCTAACCAGGTACTTCATTCCTCTTGTGCGAGGTAGCTGAGTATTGACTTCCTCTAGATCGGATTTGGCTTGGAAGAAGGCCTTCACTCGAGCGGGTCTAACTCTCGTCCACGAACAGGTGCAGCGTGGGTTTCCGGTAGGCTTATATGAAGTTAGAATGTAAGCTATCCGTGTGCTCACTATCGTCCCTAACTAAAATATATATCTGTTGTCAGGTATGCTTTACGATGACGGGACAATACCTAATGTATCAAAGATATTCATGTTGATATGGCAAGTAATTGAAAGCATTATGTACATTTCGAATGCGAAAAAAAGGTGAGCCCCTCCTATTGATACAAATGATGACGACAACAGGAACTCGTCTAAGCAGAAGATCCATGAGATGCAAAGAGTAAAGAATCAAAAGACAACAAAGTAGAAGTGAAGAGTGTGTGGTGTTACAAGCTGTTATGATCTTTTTCTCGCCGTATGATCTCTGGTTCCGTCCGGGCAAGGATAGCGTCGCTCAAGCTGGTACGCCTCTTGTGTTCTTGACTCTCTGGGCGTTCTTTCAGCGAGGGAAACGAGCTGCGTAGGAGGTTATCCAGCTGAGGCCAAATTTCGTCCGACGTCGCGCCAGTAAGGCTGACAAGTGGAGTACTGTTTGAGGTGGTATAATATGAGAGTAGTGGAGAGGTTGAAGCATAGAACTTCTCCAGGCGACGAGCAAAGATTTCCTGCATGATGACAAAGTGGTTAGCGATGCGATTGAGTGAGAGGATATACGAGTGCATACAGGGTTGTCGTCTGGCCGCTTCGTTAATGGTTCGCCTGTCACGTCATCGAGACCGGCGATCTTTGGTGGGTTGTATGATAGGTTGTATACCCTACCCGACTGGAGATGAACCCAGCGATCTGAGATACGACTCAGAATGATTTCGTCGGCGACGTCGATGTTCACCACCAAGCTCAACGGCGACGCTACTCGGCTGCGTCCAAGACACGCTTAGTGACGCATACAGACGGTCATAGTGCGATTCCAAGCTTACCGAAGATGCTCGTCGAGGAGTTTCCCCTGACCTAGCGTACGGGGGAAGCCATCTAATATCCAGTGCTGTGTGTGCACGGGGTTAGACAATGATCTGTGTATACGAAAGTGTGAGCTTGCCTTATTATGAAGTAATTCTAATCTACTCGTTACGACCTTGAGCATAATGTCATCAGGAATGAAACCGCCTGTAGCAACAATCTTCTCCGCCATCCGCCCGACCTCCGTTCTGTCTCGACGCGTCATGAGTTCACCGCGCTCTAAAAAGCGTATGCTGACTCACTTCTCCGCAATGTGCTGCCTCAACATGTCTCCCGTTGACAACGACAAGACATCATACTTCTTGACAAGCCTTGCCGACAGCGTGCCCTTCCCCGCGCCCGGCTTTCCGAACATCAGCATACGCAGGACCTTGCCATCTGCATGGCTGTTCTGCGCCTCTGCGGTCGACGCCCTCGAGTTGTTATGGAGAGAGAACGGAAGGGCTTTTTGGGACGATGACGATCTTCCGAAGCCCCGCGAGTGCCCCGGCTGGCGAACATGGGGAGTATGTTTGGGCCGAAGCAAAGAGGAGGATGCGGGGCAACGAATGAAAGCCGACATGTATAATAATAATGAGAGAACGGAGAGGAGAAAGATTAAAGAGAATCGCTGCCAAGGACCCATGGTTCAGCTTTATGTTTGCCCCAACAGGACAGGATCGTCTGACTACTCACCTATGGGAATAATCGCCCCACTGCGCTTCAGACCTGGGATCCGGACAAGCGCCAGGGCATATCAATGTCAACACAGGGAGCTTGTGCGGTAAGCAACGTTCAGGCACTGACCTCGAGTCGTAGATTGTGTTCTACGGCGACGACGTTGGGTGAGCACGTCGAGAGAGAAAGAGCTGGCTGTAGCATACAATTACGACTCTAACTTGCCCCAGCAACTGGGCATGACTCGGCCCAGCCAGATTGAAGTCTAGTATTACGCCCTAGGCTCACGTATTCGCTCAGCGGATCGCCTCAGCCGAACTTCCTCGTCACGTCGATACACCTCTCCCCAGGTAAAAATCATCGCTTTTTACAGCCAAAAATCAAATAAATTTTGTGCTATGTTACTCGTCTCCCATCCACAGCAAACTCCAGGACAGAGAGCAAACAGCCAGCGCACAAGTGAAACTCATAACCCCTAGATACTATAAGCGTCAGGAGGACATGTGGATTGAAACGCTATTCTTGCAAATCATCATCTTACTCATTGGTATCACTAGATTAATGACGTGACTCTGACCAGTCACTAGACGTGCTGTTCGAGCCGCGAACGTTCGTTGGATCGTCCTTTCTGCGTCCAGCCGATAAGCCTACGCATCTCCTGCACGTCCACCACACCCTTTACGTCGTCTCGTGCGCTGTCCGCAGCAATACATATAGCCTCTGCAACGTGGTCGACATGAATAGGGGGGATCGTAAGGGCATCCGCCATCGAATGTAACGGTGAAGACGAAATCAATGAATGT